ATCTTTTTTGCTGAAACTACTATGGCAACAATTACATTATGGAGTAGCAAACTTAATTTTAGCAAAGCATTTTAAAAATTTCACTGTTATTTCTTCCGAAGCATAGTATTTATCAATAAAAGAACATTTACCCACAGTATAAAAAAGTAATAATATCATGCAAAAGTAAACACAATTATATGTGAAATCGAGCCACCAGGGCTTGCTTTATTGATGCGGTAAAAAAGAAAAAAGAAAAAATATATAAATATAAGGTTCATAGATGCCCAATTACATCATCATCATCATCATCATTATTATTAACAAATCGAATTATTTATCATAATAGGATATTTTAATTATGTTTCCTAAATGAACTTGAAAAAACAAATCATTTTCATTCAAAAATCATCATCTTAGGTTGTATATATAATAATGATATTAATGATATGTTGCTTAAAATGGAAAAAAAAGTTGTTTGGAGAAGAGTCGAATTGAATGCAAAATAGTAATAGAAGTAGTTATTTTTGATTGTGTTGCTTCCACATTCTCAATTTGAAAAAATAATTCATTTCATTTTGAATTGTATAATAGTAATATTGCTGTGCATTAAAATGATAATCAATTTGAAAAGGTGAATTGAATTTGGAAAAAAGACAAGTTGCAAAAATAATCATGGCACCTACTCATCTTGTTTGTCATTTTCCAACTAATATAAAAAGGATAGCTATCCTTTTACATCTTCGACACAATATATAATAATAAATAATAATATTTCGTATTACATTTTCACGTGATATAATAGCCTGGCCAATAAACGTAGAGATTTTAGTTTCACAAAAAACCGATTCGAACCGGTTCAAAAACCGAACCGAACCTAAACCAAAAACCGGTTCAAAAACCGAGTTCGAACCAGTTTTTTTTTAAAACCGCCCCATCCCTAATTTTGAGCTAGATGTAAATCTTTTGATCATCTTTTTTGAAGTTAATATTAAACATTGTATTTTTGGACCTATGAAAGAAAGAAGTGTAATAACTGCTTTTTTATCTGTTTCAGAACACGTTGATGAAAATTTTGGTCAAGGTGATGAAATATTGTTGTTGAAACGCAGCGAAAAAGTTAGAACATACAAGTAATATTCTGAAATATGAAATCATAATGAATGATTATTAGTAGTTTAATATTATTGTGTTTAAGTTGATGACATGATAATGCGGTAGGTATCTTCTTCTAATTCTTTTTACTTTTTTTAAAAATTATGATTTAGAAATTTTTGGGCGGGAATTAGTGGAACAATAGAAGTTCAAGATAAATCGCCTTTTGATCGTGCACTGATTGAAATAAACGAGGAAACAAGTTTATCACCAAATGATATTATATTGATACGGACCAGCAAGCCAATTTTTGTAAGAGCAGAAGACATCAATACAATATGGAAAATTCATCCGTTTCTTTTTCGACTTGTATCTAAAGATTTGAAAAATAAAATAAGAATAGATTGGGAACACGAAAAATTCCAATGGATCAAACCAAATGAATTAAACGATTTCAACAAAACGGTCCCAAATCTAAAAGATACTTTTTATAGAGTATATTTACCAATTGATGTTCATCAAGGAATATTAAACATTCGCCATGATAAAAAATCAGGAGCCCAGCAGTTAGCAAACAAAGCTTTAGATATTTTCTATCAAATGATCAAGACAAAATCTTATGATAATGGAAATATTAAAGATTATAAAGGATTTCTTTTAACTTTGTTAAATGTTGGATGGCATTTAGTTCAGGCAAGACCTAGTATGAAGGCTTCCATTTCATATGTTGTCACAACTTTATTGAAACAAGTGTTGAAAATATTGGATAAATATGTTCCTAAGATTAAAAATGATGATGATGATGATGATGGTAATGATAACGATGATAAAAAATCAAGATCTTTCTCTTTAGATAAATGCGATGAAATGATACTTGAGAGGATTGTTGAATTAAAGACAAAGTTCAAGGAATCTGATCAAAAAATAATTGAACATTTTATGGACATTTTATCTTCAAATATCCAAATTCAAAATCAAATATTACACATAATGACAATCAGTTATTCATCCACGATTTATTCAATACTTTTAAATTTAATTCAAAAATTTGCAAATGAATCAACAAATAAGTTGATAATTACTGTGCTGGAGTCTAGACCATTGAATGAAGGTTCTACTCTAGCAAAAAACCTATTATTGGCAACACTAGATCAAAACAAGAACAATAATGATAACATCAAAATACAATTAATTACAGATTCGTCCTGTTGCTATTTTATGTCAGATGTAACTTGTGCACTAATAGGAGCCGATGAAATTAATGGAGACAATGGAAATGTAACCAATAAGATCGGATCATTGCCTTTAGCTATAGCTGCAAAATCTCATAATAAATCTGTTTACGTGATTTCTAAATCTGATAAAATAATTGGCAGCTATAGTAAGCAAGAAAAGTATGATGATCATGATGATGATGATGATGATGATGATGATGATGATGATGATGATGATGATGATGATGATGATGATGAAGAGAATGAACCAGATGAAATTATTAAGTCTTACGATGATGTCGAAGAATGGAAAAGAATTATTCAACAAAATGGGAATTTGTTCAAAGTTAGAAATGTTTATTTTGAAAAAATTAATTTTGGTTATATTGATGGATATGTGACCGAACTTGACTCAACTCTATTAAGAGTTCAAGATATAAAGAAGTTGTGGGATGATAGAAAATTGGACGGCCAAATTTTTGGAATTTTGGAGTCTGAATCAGAGTATATAACAATGAAAAACACATGTTAGTTTCAGTATCAAAAAAAGCAGCAATAAAAAAAATTTTTGTTATTCCAGGTCAATTTTTTTGCAGCAACATTTGTAAATTCATTTCACCTTTTAAATTATTTATTTCGCTCTCATCAATTTATAAATTGATTGATGATATTATTTGAGTCATAACAACGTCTTCCATGCTATGTGCGTAATTAAGAAATTCGGTTCAGTAATAGTAAAAGAATTCTAGAAAGTACAGGACATACTGCAACAAAGCCAGACAAAGTGTACATAATACTTTCAGGTCAATTGTTCAACGCTGCGATTTACTATCGTGTTAATAGCCTGTGTTTTATTTTTATCTCTCGCTTTTTGTGGCCGTTCTTTATCTGAAGAGTTAAGAAATAACAATCTCACATTATAGGTGTGTGGCTCATGTTCTCAATTTGGCTGTCCAAGAAGGTTTGCAATTAATTGATGAATAAAAGTTAGATGCCTTTCTTATATTCGATCTTCACCTACCAGTGCCGAATTAAAGGAATTATGTATAAAAGATAGTGAGTATTACGGTGTTGCAGTTGCAAAGAAAATTTCTGATAATATACTTGGAAATAATTAGTATTAGTGATGCAGTGAAAGCCTGCAGCTGTGGGATTTTTATTATTATGTAGACGGACAGGTGCCCAGCTATCTGGAAAATTTTGTTAATTGAAAGAAGGTTTCAAATTTGTTATGAACACATCCTGAACATAAGAAATAAAGATTGCGATACCATTTTCGTTCACTTATTCAAGCAAATTTATTACAGGCATGAAGAAAATCCAAAAAATATTATTTAACTTGGCCGAGTTAGGCCAAAACTGACTTATCGAGTTTACACGTGTAATTCAAAAGTACTTTAAAAAAGAATAGACAAATCATTAATTTTCTAAATAAATAATTAGATGAGATGAAAGGCTAAAATTTTCATAAGTCATAAATGTAAATTAATGAACTCAAAAAAAAACTTTTTTTTGATAAATCTCCCATGTCCTTGCCAAGTTAACTCGTTTACCCTTAAACTATTGCAGACTGCTATGAATTATCCTTATATGATTTGACAATATTATTATTATTATTTTATTTAACTCATCACTTATTCATGACAGTTTTTACAGAAAATTACTATGTATGTTATTTTTGCACCCCAACATTTCAATCATAATTTTACCTTTTTAAACAAAGATGAAAATTCCGATACATGGATATTTGATTGAGATAGCTTGGATAGATTTGATGTATTTGTTGTTTTTGCATCCAACTAATTAAAGTTGGAAAATTTTTTTTTCAATAACTTGATAGTTTTTAATTTAATTTTTAATCATGGATAAATTACATGGTGAATTACACCAGAAAGGCACAATGAGGCAAAATACCATTTTGTAAGTAAGCATAGCATTATACATATGGATATGAAATATACTAATAATATACCTTCTTAATATATGCACTAGAGATTAAAATGATTGAAGCATTAAGAAATTAATATAATTCTTTCAGATTTTAATATGTTTATATTAAAAAGATTCTGAAGGTTTATAAATTAATTTTTTTTTAATTAAAAAATCCTAATTTAAAATAAACGATCTTAATAATAATTAAATTGTTTTATAATGTATGAGTTGATTTCTGATATAATATGAAGATGGTGGATTATGTGTTGGATTATACTCTTCAAATGACCCACCTTGCGAATGTGAAAATCAATGTGCATCAAACATTTGTAAAAATCATGAACTATTAAAGCTTTTATCAAAATGTGAAAACAAATATCACCAAATATTATATGTTGGAGATTCTTTTGTCCGGCTACTAAAATGTCAAGATAAAATTTTTGATGGCTTATCAATGGTGTATTTATTGTGTGTGTATTTGTGATGTGTATTTGTGATGTGTATTTGTGATGTGTATTTGTGATGTGTATATTATAATAATAATAACAATAATGATTAATGATTAATGATAACTTTTTTTATAAATATAAAGTAATGACTAGTTTGTAAGAAAAGTTTTATTCTTCAGAAATTTTTAAAAAATGAATCAGATTTCTGTAACACTAAATGATAAAGGTTATAAATCTATATATTATTTATTGGAATGATGTAAGTGATTTTTTATAATTGTATGGAAATGGAATTTGGAAACCTTTCTTCTTTAGCGAATTAATTAAATGATTATCTTTTTTGTTTACTCTCGTCATCCTTTATTTTTTTCCTAGTTTCTGATTGTCTTCTTGATTCATTTATAGCATATTTAACATATAAACCAACTATTATTGCCATTGTAAATGCTGTTAATGGTTGTAACAATTTTTTGGAATTGATTTGTGTCATTTCAATAAAAAATTCTTTTATCAAAAGAAATTGAATTGGCCAATCGAATTTTAATATATTGTTCGTGTAACATCCTAATAACCATGTACAGTCTAACCTCGCCACAGCGGATTTCTTGCACTGTTCGAAATTCAATCGGCGGAATCGGCGTGCACTAACCAAATATGGAAATTAACCGCAGATAATTTCTAAAATTAGATTAGTTTATGTAAAGGCGCAGTCGAAT